AGGAAAAGAATGCTTTATGTATGAGAATATTTTACTCTGAGACAGATTTGGAGAATTCAAAAATGGGTAGTTATACCACTCTTACTGTTCCCATAGCCAAGAAGCAGACTTTCCTTAAGCCCATAGATGGTATGCTAAAGAATTTGAATCAGCTAGTTCAAAAGTTATTGTGTATCGCATGTGTGTGTGCTTGTGTATGCATATTTCTGTCCAGGCTGAATGAAAGTATATGGCTAGAGCAGTGATGTGATCCTAGGATCCATATGGGCAAGCCAATATAAAAAGTTCTTAGGATATTACAAGTTTATCAGATTTACTTATACCTGGATATATTGCATATTACATTATTTCTGCTATTGAAAAGATTTATAAGTGTCTTCATGATGAAATTCTTTGCTAAAATAATTAAAAAGAAATGGGGAATGTCCCCCCTGTCCCTGCCAATGGCATGCAGTAGTGGTATGGATGCTTAGATAAAATGTTGCAGACTTTTGGGATGCATGCATGGCTCAGTGGGTTAAGTTTCCAACTCTTGATTTCAGCTCAGGTCATGATCTCAGGGTCATGGGAGCCCAGAGCAGGAGTCTCCTTTGGATTCTTTCCTGCTCCCTTCCCCTACCCCTCTGCTCCTCCCGCCATGTGCAGTGCCTTTGCTAGCACACTCTCTCTATAAAGTACATAATTAAAATCCTTTTTTTAAAAAAAATATTGCAGACATTTGATATTTGGCAACTGTATGAATTTATCAATAAAATAATTGGTAATTTTTGTCTAAGCAATTTAAAAGTGTATTTTTATGTGATGTCAAAAAATACATTCTCTTTGATTGTCTGACCCACTATATACACCAAGAATTACCATAGATTTTATGTATTTAATTAGGTAATTGAGTATGATGTGAAGACTTGATACTACAAAAATTTCTTGTGGTTTTTATCATTACTGGGTTTTTTTTTTTTGTGTGTGTGTGTGTGTGTGTGTGTCTTTTTGTTGTTGTTTATAAGGAGATACATTTTCTGGAATCTATTTAAAAATGAGGATTTTAATTTCAACCAGTAGATGGCAGGATAATATCAGCCCTAGAAAGTGGTTGCTCAGAGACTTGTTAACAAGAAAATTGAGGAATCTACGTATTATTCATGCATTTGGTTAAGGAACACTTCACCAGTTCTGCACTATGTACAATCACCTTTAATGAACAAAATAGTATCTCTCTTTAAGAAAAAAATTAGAAAACTGCAATCACTTCTATTAAAATTACTTAAAAGACACAATGACTTGTGTCACTACTGTAATTTTGCTGAAAGTATTAATGAATGTTTTAAGTTATGATACAAATGGTGTGAAACAAGGTTTTTATACTATGAAGATAATATGATTTCTAAGGTGAAAACACAAGAGAATCCACCCCAAAACCTGTTACAAATCAATGACACTAATGTTTCATTCAAAACTTAAGAATTGATGTTAATTATGATGACAGATAACCAACATGTTAAAACCATGCATTTCCTACTAATGCTGCAATAGTTTGGAATACAACGTGAAAACAAAATTTCATTCGAAACAGCAATCCATATACCAAAGACAATGTGAAGAAAAGATCACTGGAACTGAAGAAAGAGACTCTAAATGACCCATATAAGATTTTATTACATGATTTTAAAAAGCGTAAAAATTCAGTGAGAAAGTAAAAAAAAAATTTTAATTTTTATTTATTTATGATAGTCACACAGAGAGAGAGAGAGGCAGAGACATAGGCAGAGGGAGAAGCAGGCTCCATGCACCGGGAGCCCGACGTGGGATTCGATCCCAGGTCTCCAGGATCACACCCTGGGCCAAAGGCAGGCGCTAAACCGCTGCGCCACCCAGGGTTCCCGAGAAAGTAAAAATCATTCAAAAAGTGGTGATGGGACAATTGGATAATAATTTGAGAACATACTTTAGATTTTATGTCAGAAATCTAGTTAAAAGTGATATTCATAACAATAATATAAAATACTGGGATAATCCTACTGTATCATGGTGGGAAAAAATACACAAGAAGATATTTTAAAATGACAAAGGAAAAAGTAATTTCAGTACATTACCCAAAAAGCCTTGCATGTTAAGATATATACTCAAAAAAGATGGGAAAATACTTACTGTAAATAGAGACTAATATTAACATAAAAGCAATTTTTTTAAATTTTTGTAAATTTCAGATTGAAATCATAAAGAAGAAAAGCTATTTGAACAAGAGATAAGCAGTAAATGCTTCCAGAGCAAGCTTTAGCAGCAATAAAGCAATAGGATAAAGGAAGAGAAATGTGACATCTGTACTATGTAAACAAACAGGAAAATTATCACCAAAAGTTCAAAATGCAAAAAAGATAACATATTTGACTGCATTAAATGGAATGTGTGAAGATAGTCAAAAGGCACAAACTTCTAGTTATAAATGAGTCAGGATGTAATGTACAGCATGTGGCTATAGTTAATAATACTATCGTATATTTGAAAGTTGCTAAGAGAGTAAATCTTAAAAAGTTCTTGTTCCAAAAAAAAAGTTATATCTATGTATGGTGATACTAATTACGCTGTTTGTGATGATCATTTCACAGCATATACATATATCAAATTATTATGTTATGAACTTCAACTAATACAGGTCAATTATATCTCAACTTAAAAAGTTGAGTAGCCTTGCCTCAATAAAAATGCTATAAATTGAGAAAAAAAAGTCTTTGTGGCAAATAGGACATATGAAGCTAAAGACAGGAACAAATGATTCACAGGTGAAGAATTTACATGCTGAATAAACAAAAATTTCAGTGTTGTGATTTCAAATATATAAACCCAAAATTGGAACTGTAAAGATACCCTTTGAAATAATCACTAAATACCTTCTGCTCGAAATGCATAGTGGCACACCCTTGGAAATATTTTTCAAGAGCCTACACTATTTGACTCAGATTTAACTTCTTTAGAATTTATCACAGTCAGACATGGACAAAATTTTATGTAGGAACACTAAATCTTAATTTATAATAGTGAAAACTTGGGGTAGATATTTAAATGTACACTCATAGGGAAATAGAAAAAAGGAAGGTACATTCCTAAGTGGAAAATTTAATACTTCTACAATAACCTATAAAAATAATTAAAACGAAAGTAAAAAATTATGACGCAAAATGCCAACTTTATTAGTACCAATTACCATTTACTTAATGCTTCTCTGTGCATGCCTTATGCTAATCACTTTGTAACATTTTCTACTTATAATTCTGATACAGAACCCACAATTATTAACTCCCATCTTAATGCCATAGACAAAAGGGTAAACTTTAGCTTTAAAAGCTTACTTACCCCAAGGTCTTTCCCCAAGGTTAATAACTGGTTGAGATAGGACATTTTTTTTCTCTTAATGCTATGTTTCTGTAGTTTTGTTTTTTTAAAAAATATTTTATTTATTTATTCATGAGAGACACATGGGGGGGGTGGGCAGAGACACAGGCAGAGGGAAAAGCAGGCTCCATGCAGGGAGCCTGATGTGGGACTCGATCCCAGGACCCCAGGATCATGCCCTGAGCCAAAGACAGATGCTTAACCTCTGAGCCACTCAGGTGTCCCTGTTTCTGTAGTTTTGAATGAGATGTTCTGTGGGAGCTAATTTTGTCTTTATAATCAAAACCAGGTAATTACAAACCAGAAAAATTTGAACATGATTGAATGTGTTTGCTTTACAGGTAAATTACAAGAATTCTACTGTTGGCAAAAGCGGAAAAAATAAGTATGGATTTAAGTAAAAATAGAATGTTTTTCTTAATGCATATGTATTTGATAATTAGGGAGAAGTACATTATTTTATAATATATACACATTTTATAAAACCTGGAGAAAAAGTTATAGTGATAGCAGTGTGTGTCTTTGAAAGTTGGATTTCCTTTTATCATCCATATTTTAGGTTAGGGTCTAGCATATTTGAAAAATATTTGACAAATGTCTGTACACATGTATATGATAATATACCCAATATTAACAAAAGTTACCCTTGGCATATGGAAATCATTGATAATTTATACTTTCTGCTTTTATTTTCCTGTACTTTCTATAATACACATAAATTACTTCTATAATCAGAGAAACTAACAAACAGTAATTTTGAAACTTAAAAAAATAAGAAACACTAAAAGTTTCTAACATCTATTGTGCTGGCAGTTTATCCTTTTTTTTCCAGTCTTTATTTTATTTATTATCTAATTAATTTTCCAGTAAAAAATTATCAGCTTTTGAAAGTAAGATCTTTTTCCAATCATTTCAAAGCCACTGAAAATTTATCTATAAGCAAGGAATTCCAGATGTAATTAGTAGTATTAGCCTACCATCAGTCAGCTATTATATGACTACCAAGACAGCTGTCAACTGCAGAAAATTCTAAAAGGATGAGGTGGAGTGTGTCAGGCTGGAGGTAGGGGGTATAGGTGGAGTAGTCAGCTTATCTGGTGAAGTAATATTTAGCTAGTTACAAAGCAAAAGAGTCAACTAATAGAAGGCAAAAACCTTTTTTCAGGGCACTTGGGTGACTCAGTTAAGCATCTGCCTTTGGTTCAGGTCATGTGATCTTCAGGTCCTGAGATTCAGTCCCATGGGATCCAGTCCCATGTCCAGGTCCCTGCTAAGTAGGGAGTCTGCTTCTTCCTCTGCACCCCGACTTGTGCGCTCTCTCTCAAATAATAAAATAAAAATAATAAAAATCTTTTTAAAAACCACAATACCTTCTTTCAACAAAGTAAAGAGAAAAGCTTATGCAGAATAGAAGGCAAACGGGGCAGTATCACCTCAGCAGGTCAAAATTAACACCAAGAATTATGTATCAAAACTATGTAAAAAATAAAGAAGCCATAGCAGAATTACCCCTGAAAGGTCAAGATGCAAAAAGATGGACAAATTTTATCTCAAAAATTAACTGCCTTTGTAAAATTTTAATAGATTGAGAAAAAGAAATCAATGCAAGCAAATGCCAGTTAAATTATATTTATTATATAAAGAGATCCTATAACTTGGTATGAAAAAAACAAAGCAAGTCCAATAGGTATCACAAGGGTAAAGGACATGAACATTCAAAGAGGAAACGGAGATACTCAAAAAAACACATATATTTAACCTCATTAATAAAGAAAGGATTGGGATGCCATTTCTTGCTTATTCAATGCACAAAGTTAACATCAATTTCTACTTTTTCTATTTTCTAAGTGTACTCAAATGTGCTATTTTTAGTAATAAAAAAATTAGTCATTAAAAAAAAAACATAGAAAGTATGAAATTTTCTGCCGAGGCAGAAATCATAAAAAGCATTAAAATGAATCAACACTTGTATGGGCAGTAAAGTTCAGACCGTCAATGGAAGCCAATTCATTTTGTCCTGGTTCCTGAGTTTTATTATGAGATTGTCAATAAAGAGATTATTCCTGATTTATATATACTATGACAATCTCCCAAGTGTAAGGGTATACATATTAATATGTATGTAAATATACACATGTAAATTTTTTCTTCAGGTAGGCAATTATTCCAATAAAGTACCTCTCTAGAATCACTCACTACCTACAAGACTCCTATGACTTCCATTTGCAGAAAAGAGGTCATTAAGATCTCCCCATGTAATTCTCAACCAGTAGGGATGCCTTTGGTATTTTAGAGGCTGAACATCTACTTTAGTACTGCCTGAAAAACAGGAATGTTCCACGCTTTCTCTGTAGCTGGCTTCTGAGAGAATCTGAAGTTGGTCCTGTTCTTTAGAAATAGTCAAAAGGACGTTTTCCTGATCTGATACAGAACTGAGTATATCTCCTGCTTGCTCAGATCATAGCCCTAAGGCAGGTCACACAAAGCTCAGGATGCACATGGGGTGGAGCAATCACCCCAAATCAAATGATCACATTAGAATGACTAAGTTGGGAGACTGAACTTAAAATCCTATCGCTTTGCTCAGCGTTATTTCTTTCTTAGCTTTCCTCATATAAGTTTTACTGAACAAAAAGGGTGGAAAATAGCAGAGCTTAAACTTATTCAGCAAAACCAACTTTCAGAAACCTGAACTTGCAACTCTATAGAAAACCATACACAAGCAGAAAAAGTAATAGGTTTTATCTGAAGTAACAAATTAGTCAAATGACAAATTTGGTAGTCAGTTTAATATGCTGTAGCCCTTATCTATCTCAATTTAGTACGATTCCATAGATACTTATTCTCTGGTACTGAATTCCCATTTGGATAGAAATAGCTGCTAGGTAGAAGAAAAAAAAATTTAATTTAGAAACAATTTTCCTACAGCTGAAATACCAATCAATTTTAAAATTATATGTGTACAGCTGTATGAATGTATATACACATGTATGTATGCATACGGATGTGTTTATGCGCATACATACCTATATTTCCTCTCTCCCTTTCCCTCTCTCCAGAGATACAAAATCCTGACTTAGGGTTTTGTACGCTGTTTATTTCTCCTATCTAGGAAACTTCACATATTCTGAATGCACTCGATCTGGTGAATTGTCAACGATATCAAAAACCATTATGAAAAAAGGGAGGTAGGTGATATTTGGCGACCTTTTATTATTTTAGGTCAGAGCAAGCAGCCTCCCTTCGATGTTCTGAAGTGAAAGATGAAAACTTGCAGCTTTGAAGCATAAACGAACATAATTATACATTTACTACAATCACCTACAATTTGACTTACACAACACCACAAAGACATCTAAAACATTTTTCTACATATCTTTTTTACATTTGTTAAAACAGCTGGCTATGTTAAATACATTTTCAGAATGCATTTGTTAACCATACGGATAAACACACTGAGCCAAGCAATACAAATAACATCAGTTACCATTTAACCTAATAACTGCACCAATCACTTTAAGAAGATACAATTTAAGGGGAAGTGTGAGATCATCCATGATGCACTGCAAAGGTACTACATTTTAGTCCTAAGAATGGTCTGAAGGTGCTGAAAGAGGGGATTCTCTAGAAGGTGACCCAGGGTTTTCCTCGGGTGGAAAAACTGTGAGAGTACAAGCTCGAATGCCACCAAGTGACTCTGGAAGGTCAAAAACTTTATGCCATTCATCCTTTTCTGGGTCATATTTCTGGACAATTTCTACCATACAACGATTATTCCAGGAATATCCACCCACAACATAGATTTTATTTTCAAAGACAGCAACTCCAACATCACTCTGACCTCTTAACATAGCAGCAATTGGTGTCCACTGGTCAAGGGTTGGTGAATAGTATTCACAGCTTAGAACATCATCATAATCACTTGTTCCTCTGAAGTGATTGCCACCAATGACATAGAGCTTGTCTCCAACTGTACACATGCAGTGCAGACCTCGGACTGTAGTCATTGGAGCCTTCTGTGTCCATTTGTCTGTATCTGGGTCAAAACACATGAGCTCGTTTTGGAAAGTGTCATGAGTAATTCCTCCTGAAATATACATCAAGCCTCCGTACACTGTTCCAGCATGGCCATAGTGGGGCTCGCTCATTTTTGCAACATAGCTCCACTCATTCATCCTTGGGTTGTAACATTCTACTGTGGCCAGTTCACCAGCCGCACTTCGCCCACCAACAGCATATAAATGTCCTTTAAGGGCACTCAAGTGGAAAAACGTGCGCTTTTCATTTAACGATGCAACCTGCATCCATTTGTTGTACCGAGGATCAAACCTGAAAACTGTATCAACAGCAGTTTTTCCTTTCGTATCATAATTACTTTGACCACCAACTACATAAAGAAAGTTTCCAATGACAGCAATACCATGCTGGTAACGAGGAGCATCCATGGGGGCAAGGGATCTCCATTCTTGTGCCCTTTCATCATACATCCGTAATTCTTTGCTGACAACCAGCTGCTGCCTCAAAACTCCTCCTAAGGTGACCAAGTGTGTCGAGTCAGATCGAATGGCAGTTCTATCTGACTGCATCACTGGCTGCATATATGGCATCATTTGGTAATTGCTAGCTTCCAAAAGCAAATTCACACAAGTATTGTCTGTTCTCATGAAATCTACTGTCTGCACGTAATTGATGAGATCCTGGGGTGTCATCAATGGAAATCGAATGTTCTTCATTAATTTTGCAGCATAATCCATCCGAGGGTCTTCCAATCTTAGCCAGCGACAGGCGGCCTTGAAGAGCTCAAGTTCAGTACAGTGCTTAAGACTGTTACTAGAAAGCACAAAGGCAAGCCGTTCAAAGGGGAGTTTTAGAAACTCCCCGGTACTCAGCAACGCAGGAAAATTCTTCAGGATGAAATTATTGACGTACTTATCCACTTCGATCAGATTGTAGGTGTTAGCAATCCGCCCAACTTCAACACAGTTGTCCAAAGAGACTCCCGAAATAAGGAACACCTTACAGAAGTCCAAGACGGGCAAAATCTGTAAGAAGCTGGCAGCTTCAAGGGTGTCCTGAAGATTGTCCATATTGAGAGAAAGCTTTGCAGTATAAATGAAGTCAATTATTTTCTTCAGCCCAACCTTGTTCACCCCATGCAGCTTAATGCACATCAGATCCTGTTCTTTCATTCCGCCTGTGAACATTGCCTTGAAGTAATCACTAGCGGACGCCATCATAGCTCTGTGAACGGGGAAGATTTCATCTCCGTCGCCCGGGACCAGGGTCACATCACAAAGCAAGCCTTCTATTCTGAGCTGGTCGAAGCCTTGCAGCACCACCGAACTGTGAGTGTTGCTGGTAAAGAAACGCGTGGTTCCTGCCTTGCAGGGCTGTAGGTGGGCGGAGACGCCCATTTCGCCGGTGCCGCCGAGGGACACTTTCATGGGAAAGCCTTCCTCCCGCGGAGACCTGGGCCCCCCGGGGAGCGAAGCTGTGGCCTGAAAGCTCTCAAGGAAACGAGCAGCGCGAGCAGCGCGAGCAGCGCGCGGCCCGCCCGAGCAGGGAGCAGGAGGGCTCGCCTTCCTTTATCCAGGGCAAGCGCTCACCGCGGCACCCCGCCAACACACCCGCCGGTCATCCGCTCCAAACTGTCGGAGGGCAGGACCACAGAGGGCTGCGGACCTCAAATCGGATCACGCTGCGGATGAGTCATCACCTGAAGGCAGTTGAGCGACCCGGTTCGCCCGGTCCGGCCTGCGCCACCGCTCCTCCAGCAGTTCCGCTCCCGGCCGAGGGGGAGGCGCCGCCACGTACTGCGGCCGGCGACGCGGCGAGGCCGGCCCACCTCAGCGCGCGGCCCGCTGCGCCCTCCGCGCTCGCTGGAGCGTCGCCGCGGCCGCCGGCGGCTGTGCAGGGACGACGGCCTGGACCGCGGGCCTGGCTCGGGCCTGGGCCTGGGCCTGGGCCTGGAACGCGGGCTCTGCCCCGGACGCCGAGCCGAGCCGGCCCTTCCGGAAAGGCTTGGTCCCAGGATCCCCCGGGCTGGGAGCGGCCGCGGCGGCTACTGCGCCTGCGCGCCGCCGGGCCCCGTCAGTGGGCGGGCGCGTGGGGGCGGGGAGCAGCGGTGCGGGAGGCGCCGAGGGCGGGGGTCAGGGCGGGGTCGGGCGAGGTCGGGCGGAGGAGCCGGCGCCGCCTGGGGCTCCAGGGACTCCCTCGGGCCGGCCGGCCGGGACGCCCGCGCGGTGCTGCGCGTGTGCTGCAAGCTTTTCACGGCGCCTGAGCTCTCCTCCTAAATTCATACTCTTTTTTTTTTTTTTTTGTAAGATTTACACTTCCTGGCTTCTGCTTTTGAATAACGATGACGTGCGGCTTTTGTATAGATTGGAAGGCAACGGGGAAGAGGCGGCGGCCCTGGGGGCAAGATGCTTAAAACCGTTCCTCGATAAAGCACCTGGGCTATGATTTTTATCCTACACCTCAGTTATCATTTTGGTTCACATATTCAAATTACTAGTCATTTAATACACGGATCATGTGTCTCTAAATACCAAATTGTGACCATGGCACATGAATAGTATAGCCTGGGTTTTGGCTGTGCAGTGCAATTCCGTTGTAATTGTTCTCCACTCACATTTTTATTTCATTTCATTTCATTTATCATTTATATTTATTTATTTATTTATTTATTTATTTATTTATTTATTTATTTATTGGTGTTCAATTTGCCAACATATAGAACACCCAGTGCTCATCCCATCAAGTGCCCCCCTCAGTGCCCATCACCCAGTCACCCCCACCTCCCACCCACCTCCCCTTCTATCCACTCACATTTTTTTTTAAAGATTTTATTTATTTATTCATGAGAGACACAGGGAGAGAGAGAGACAGACACAAACAGAGAAGCAGGCTCCATGCAGGGAGCCCGAAGTGGGACTCGATCCTGGCTCTCCAGGATCACGCCCTGGGCGGAAGGCAGATGCTCAACCACGGAGCCACCCAGGCAGGCATCCCTAACCACTCACATTTTTAAATGGCTACAGGACTTTCCTATGATTCCACATACTATAGTTTCTTTTGCCCATTATTAGTTCCGGAATAAAAACTTTGTATGTCATTGTTTTATAGACTCCAATAAACTAAAATCTCAGCACAGAAGTTTCCCGTTTTTAGATAAATCCTAAGGACAGGATTCAAGACGTATAAAAGTTTCTTTCCAAAATATGGTCACCAGCAAGGTTTGTGCATTTCTCCCATATTTATTTTTATTTATTTTCCCTTTATGGATATTTTTATTAACTTGTATTTCTCTATTTAGTAGTAAATTTAAATTTTGCCATATGAATAGATGTACATTTTGACATAATTTCTTCCAACATTTCCCATGTTTTGAAGTGTCTGATGCCTTTTAAATCTATCTAGTTTATTTTTTGTATACGCAAACCAGTAAGACTATAATTATATTCTTTTATTATACTTTTTCTACTTTTACATAAAAGATAGGAGCCCGTACTCACTATTCTGCCCCTAGCTTTTTTTCATTTGGAGATCTTCCCATGTTAGTAAATAGAGAACTTTGTTTTGTCTCCCAATAAATGGGTGTGTCATAAATTATTTAACCAATCCCGGACTGATGGACAGTTAACTGTATCCAATTGTTTTCTGTTGTTTCAGTGGATGGCAGCAAGTTCCAGAAGGCAGACTGCTGATGTCTTCCACTATATGCTCCAGCATATCTTAAACATGTTCAAGTGTAAAAGGTGGGCTGGATTGAGACTGGCTGCGAGAAATTCTTTACTGGACTTTGTCAGCATTGGGAAGTCCTAGAAATTGGCTTAGTGCAGGGGTTGGAGATGGAAGGACTCTCCTGAGCAATGAAGACTCCATACTGGATGTGAAGAGGTACTTGCAAGGGATCAGTCTCATTCTGGAAAATAAAGAATCGAGCGGCTATTTTGGAAGTTGTCAGAGCAAGAAGACATGAGATCTTTTTATTACTAAGCTTGCAAGAATGATTAAGAGCTGAGGAAGCAGACCTATGGTCTTAATAAAACAATTACTATGGACAGATATATTTCATCATATTCCCATGTTTAGTCATTTCAAAAGACTTCATCATGAAATAAATTGAATCAAATTTGTCACATTTATTGATAGTATTAAGCAACTATAAAGTTAAAAGTTCATAGGAGGCACCAGCCCATCATAGACGACCTTAATAATGTACTTACCTATTTAAAGATATTTATCGTGTTTCAATATTTTTGCTTGTATGTTGTCATGTTCACCTGTACATTGTGTTAGTTATATAGTGTTTACCTTTATATATATTTTTTTTTAAGACAGAGGGGGAAGTGGGAAGAGGGGCAGAGGGAGAAAGAATCTTAAGCAGCTTCCATTCCCAATGTGGGGCCCAACAGGAGCCTCGATGTCAGGACCCTGAAATCATGACCTGAGCTGAAAACAAGATTTAAGCCACCCAGGCACCCCCCACCTTTAAATTTTTAAGTTCTTCTCTTTATTTAAAGTTTTACTTTCAAATAGTTTTGCATTTGTTTATTTTTAATAAATAAATACCAAGATTGATTTTGTAGCTTAATTGAAAGTACAGTTCATTCATCCATTTCATTCAAGCTACATGTGATGTTTAAGTATCTAGATCACAGGCCCTATGCCTACCTTCAGGATAAAAAGCTGAATGAAGAAAACAAAATGCCAGCCCTCTTGGAACTTTTCCTTTTTTGTTGGAAAGAAATATAAAAGTATTAAGCCGTCAATTAATTAATTGCAACTACATCGTATACTAACATAGCAAGCAAAAGAAAATTATCATCTGTCACCAGAAACTGGAGGATTCAGAAACTCTGAGCCTTGACATGTGATGCACATTTCTAGAATTTATAGTGCTATAGCAAAAATGTAAACTTGGGAGCTGAAGTATACCTGGTCTCTAAAGGCCAAAGAATGAATGAGGTTCTGTAGAAATACAAAATAGGAAGACTACCAAAAATTGAGCCTTATGGACCTTCACAATTACATGTAGGGAAGACAATAAGGAGCCTGAAAATCACACTGGAGTGGATACAGCACAATAGGAGGATGATTCACAGGAGAAAATATGATGAGAGAATGTTTAAGGAAAGATATGTGTTTAAAAGGTGATGTCTTGGGACATCTGGGGGGACTCAGTCTTTTAGGTGACTGACTCTTGATTTTGGCTCAGATCATTATCTCAGGGTCATGAGATCAAGTCCCAAGTGGGGTTCTGTGCCCAGCATGGAGTCTCCTTGAGATTCTCTCTCTCTCCCTCCCGCTGCCCCTCCCCTGCAGGTGCACAGTGCAAGCATACACATGTGTGTGTGTGGGGGGGGCGTGCGCTCTCTCTCTTATAAATAAATAAATCTTTTTTTTTTAAGTGATATACTTAGGGAAAGTGAGGACTGGGTTTGGCAGAAGTCATGCTGCAGAATCCAGATTGGAGTGTATGGACTGAGGGTAAATCAGATGAAAGGTGTTGAAGACCGAGTGAATGGAAACTTTCTTAAGGTTTATCTGTGAAGGGAAGAAGGGAAATAATGTAGGCCTGAAGAAAAAAATAAATATTATTGGGTGTAATTTTTTTAACCTTTTTACAAACGTATTTTGGGATAGATTTCCAGGAATAGATGTAGTGGCACAAAGCATATAAAATCAATATTTTCTTTTATATATCTGCTTATTTAATAGGCTAAAATATCAGGCATTGTTGCTTAACTCTGTTTAAGTACTAGTGGGCTAGATTTTTTTCATTTGTCTGCTAGTCTTCGTCCTTCTTATCTGGGTCTTATGACATTAACTAGTTTTTTAATTTTCCTTATGAATTATGTTTTTAGATATCCTTAATTCTTAAAAGGAAGTATAAACCTGTCATGCTGATAGTGGCTACAGTCCAATGATGTACCTCTTTGTCAATTTTATGTTTACAAATAACAGCCATTTGCTTTACATTTTCTTTGAGTTCTGGTATGTTGAATATGTAGAACCAATACTCTCCCATTCCCATTCCTCTATAGATCTTATGAATTATCAGTTTCCATGTATATTGTAAATATTTCAATTTTTTTCCTATATCCCATTAGGATTTTATTTTTATCTATGGTTTGAGATGAGACTATAAATCGATTTGTGTCTGGATTGTCAGGCATTTATCTCGTTACCATTTACTGGAAGTTCTTTTCTTCTATATTAACATCTAAGATAACTTTAATTCCAAACTTAATTACTACTGGTAATACAACAATTTCTAGGATTATTTTCTTGATTATTCTGGCCACCTAGGTTTCCTTACTGGCATCATGCTCACACTGTATTACAATTCAGTTTATTTTCTGGTAAAGCTAGATAATGTAAAAAGTTTTCCTGTTCTATTCTTGGATATTTTTGCTTGGTGATCTTTCCTGATTAACTTTTTAATAGTCCTA